GACCAATGTTCTAGGAGGAATATTTGATTGAATGTGTTAAAGCTATTCAAAACTTGGTTGATATCTTTAAAACTCAGAAGAAATTCCAAACAAAAAGTTATCTCATGTTTCCCCAGCTATTCCTGTCTTCGCGATATCATCATCGTGGAGCCCTTTCTTTTCCTATGTTTAGTGACTTGGAGTTGAAGCCATCTGGTACACTAGAAGTGAAACTTGTGCAGGCTAAGGACTTGACAAACAAAGACTTCATAGGGAAATCAGATCCCTATGCTGAGCTGTACATAAGGCCGCTACGTGAACGAACAAAAACCAGTAAAATCATCGTAAGATACCTGGCTTCTTTTTCATAGTTCATAGCCTTCTTTAACTTGCTTGGGATGAAGGTTTTTAAACTGTATTCCTGCAGAGCAATGATCTGAATCCAATCTGGAATGAGCACTATGAATTTGTTGTTGAGGATGCATCCACTCAACACTTGTATGTTAAGATTTTTGATGATGAGGGGCTTCAAGCTTCTGAGCTACTTGGATGTGCTCAAGTTCAATTAAGCGAGCTTGAACCTGGTAAAGTGAAGGATGTGTGGTTGAAGCTGGTCAAAGATTTGGAGGTTCAAAGAGACAACAAATACCGAGGGGAGGTGAGATTTGTCATGGTAGTTAATTAGTCAAAACGCTGCTGGAATTCCTAAGTTTAATGTACATTTATGGCTTGCTGTGATTGATACCATCTTTTAGGTCCACTTGGAGCTGCTCTACTGCCCGTATGGTATGGAGAACAGCTTCACCAACCCCTTTGCCAAGAAAGTCGAAATGACAACCTTAGAAAGGGTGCTTAAAAGTTCAGGAAATGGAATAGCAGATGCTGCTCTAACTGAAAGGGAAGTCTCACAGAAGAAAAGGGAGGTGATTGTTAGAGGAGTTCTTTCTGTAACCGTGATTTCTGCTGAAGACTTGCCTGTTGTTGATCTCATGGGCAAGGCTGATCCTTTTGTTGTCCTTACCATGAAAAAGTCGGATACTAAAAACAAAACCAGGGTAAGTTTCTCTTCCATTACACTTGAGTCTTCCAATGTCTCCATTTCTGTTGATTTTATAAATTCTCAATAATACGACCAATTCATATTCATCATTTTAGCCTTTCCTTTTCTTGCTAGGTCGTGAATGAGAACTTGAACCCTGAGTGGAACCAAACATTTGACTTTGTTGTGGAGGATGCACTGCATGATATGCTCATTGCTGAAGTTTATGATCACGACACGTTTCGCAAGGTAAGTTTGGTACCATCCTCTCTCAAAGCGCCCATGGATTGTGGTTCCTGACAAGTTTGGATTTTTGGTAGCACTGTTCTCATTCAATATTTTGTTATTTAGGAGTATATTGGGAGATGCATCTTGACGTTGACCAGGGTCATATTGGAAGGAGAATACAGAGAATGCTTCACGCTGGATGGTGCTAAATCTGGAAGGCTGAATTTGAGCCTCAAGTGGGTTCCACAACCAATCTACCGCGATTCCCAGTGGTAGGAGGCGCCACAAGCCATATTTTCGGTATTCAGAAATTCCCATTCTTCGATCATGGAGCTCAGTGAATCTCATTGCTTGGAAACAAGCTGTACATAAGAATTCTTTTTGTGGATTACTCAGAAGATTTTTGTTTCAGTGGATGGATAATGAGAGCTTTTGTGAGAATGAGATGGTAGGAAGAAGCAGAGCTTTTTTGACATGTTGTAATCCACGTATGCTTTATAGGGTTTCAATAATATCAACAATTCCAATCAGGTCCTTTGAATTCTCATGATATTGCTTGAAGATTAGCAAATACAGAAACAATGTCAGAATCTAATAGTAAAGACTAAAGATTCAACGATGGAAACAACAGCATCCCTGTTACAAATATGACGTAGACAAGGAATGCATATGGCATTTGCATTATACATTGAAGGAACTGCCATAATCTTCAGCAATCGGCTGCTGATTTGGTGTGAGCTTATCACTCTGAATCAAGCAAGAACTTAGCAGTAATCGGCTGGATGGTACTTCTCAAGTGATGCTTGTTTAGTTTCCTGCGTCTCAGATTGCCTCCCCTGCACGGAATCCAGCACAAGTTCAGCTGGTATGTAACAGGACCAGAGAATTTTGCATGTTACTCAGCAAAAATGGTGGCAAAATTTGTCATTATGATTTCCTTACCAGTATTGGTTGTGCAATACAAATGCATCAGTGGGCACCTTTTTGCCATCGTCGTTGCGGTTCCAGTGGTACAATGCATGTGTCCTATTCTTTATCTCTAACATTGAATGCCCATAACTGGCTTCCCTGAAAGCCGAATAATCTGGTTGTGGTTCTAAAAACCTGCACATGTCATCAATGGAATGGTTTATTCCTTGATTTGATAACTTATTAGCAACTGAATCTGTGAGAGTTTCGGGTTATTTATGTATATATATACCTTCCAGCAAGACCTTCTTGATTTCCTCCATCTCCTACTGTAATATACACAGGCGCAGATTTGTCTGGAATAGGATATCGATCGCCACTTGTCACATTGTATTGGATGTTTGATATTCGGTACTGGAGATAGATAAGAAAGAAATGCATTAGCTTTTCATACACTGCACAACTCTATTTTCGTAAGAAGTAAAAGCTCCTCTGACTTACCGATCTTTCATAAGCGTGGACATGACCAGCAAAGATAACATCGACTCTGTATTGAACAAACCATGTCTCAAAAGCCGCTCGCATACTTTCACCCTCCATGAAATGTGCTTCGTTGCTGTTGTAGATAGGGGCGTGCATGAGAACAATGAGCCACGGCGTCTTCTCTCTGTCAACCTTCTTCAACTCTTCCTCAAGCCACGTCCATTGTGGAGTGTATTTCACTGCTCAAAAGGTTGAATTAGAGAACAACTGACAGATTACCATAAAGAAGAGTCGAAGTTCAGAAGGTTACCAAAAGGTGAATAGCTGGAGAGCACAATGATGTGAGCAGATGCACGTTTGATTGCGTACCATAGAGGATTGGTGCTTTTGGAAGCCAAGTAAGGAGTTGGGTACCGATGAAGAAAGTTTCTGAAAGGCACAACCTCGTCCTGTGACATAAGGTGGAAAAGATGGTCTAGAATTACTCAAATGAAAAAGCGTGAATCTCCAGTGTTATGACATTTGAGAATAGCAGTAACAAGTATACCATGTATGGCATGAACTCGATTTCATGATTTCCAGCAGACCACATCCATGGCTGATATGCTGTGCTTTGCTCGACAAAACGGCCCCATGTATCCCATCGGATCCCGACATCATTATACTGATATCTGTCTGAATAAGAAAGATCCCCAACGAATAACACTGCATCTGCCCCACTCTGCATGTAGTGTTGAAGGGTAGAGAGGGAGTTATATGTTTGGCCTAGATCACCTGGAAGCCATAAATAGAATGGAGCGCAACCGAGTGATAAATCAGTAACCATATAGGGAAAACTGCAGCTCATGAAAATGCATATATGCAAAACACAGGTGGCAACTTACCAATTATTCCAAACTTATAAGGAGCATCTGGATGAATCTCCGGTGGTGTTTGGAACCAGAATTCTCGAGAAGATTCATCATCACCGAGCTTGTAATAATACTTAGTAGCATACTGCAGACAAGAAAATATCTCAAAACGAATAACTCGGGCCAAGTCTGCAAAGTTCGAAAGACACGACTTCAAAGTTCTTGAAAGTGAAATTTACCTCAAGGCCATCAAGGAGGCACTCGTGAATGTATCCTGATTTGTACTTGTAGAAGGAATAGTTTGACACTGTCCCTTCAGCAGTCAAATCATATTTCTTTTCCGATTTACCATACTGTACTTTGAGAGAACCAGGCTCGTCAGGTGTCACCCATGAGATGATCACAGCCTTCCCTTCATAGTCACCTTGTGTAATGTGCACCTATGGTTGTTGAGATGAAACAAAGAAATTATGATAAAAATGCATTACACACTCCCATAACCAGTTACAACAACACTCAAACAATAATAGATTCCAGACCGCAAATGCACTCTCTTTCCATTTAAAGAAGGTACAATATCTCCACTCATGGACTTAATAAGTAAACGTAATCTCTTTTGCAAGCAACTCAAGAAAAGTTAACAGTTTACCTGTTGAGGTGCATTTCGACCTTTTGGAACTGCAAATGCTTGATTGTCAAGAGGGATATCAGTCGATGGCCACTCCGAACGCACGAAGGTACTTGTCATCTTCGCATTCCCATTGTTCAAACCACTCAAGAACAGAAAGAACGCGGTAACGAGCCCAACCCAGAACTGCTTCATCTTTACAAACGTTGTAAACCCAACCTATCTGCAGTCATCAAATAAGCATCAAAGTCGAACGTCAGATTCTCAAGTCAATTTTTCATTTTGACACAAACCCTTCTTACCAACCAACTGCCAACTCCTCCCAAACTTGGGAGGCAGAGGAATCAAAGAACAACTCAAATCACCAGTGACAACGGGTCAAGTTCAATGCTTTCGAATTCCACAAGGAACATGGATCAATAATTTGCAGGTAGAGCCATTCAATGATCGATACCAATAACAGTCAACCTTGACTCGATTTGGCTGATACCCAGAAATTGAAAAAGGAGGGATCCACAAAGATCACAGTTTGGTAAAGACGAGACATTTTGCTTACCTGAGAAACATTAGCAGATAAGGTGACGATGAAGCAGTTGAGGAAGAGAGCCGAGAAGAAAGCAAATGATTGAAAGAAGCAGTCTTTATTTTAGAGAGTGTCATTTATCGCTTCAGAATTACAGTTGCAGTTAGGAAGCTTTTGTGGCGGAGGCGCAGGTTTACTGTCAGTGGATGCCCGACACCGGAATCATGACGCCATCCATGCGTCAGTTTCGCCAGGCAAAATTGTAGGCCCAACAAGCTCAATTGTCAAACCATGCACTTGGGTTGGGCCTGGCCCGAGAAAAAGGCCCGTAATTTTGTTTCATTTCGCTGATTAAGGGGCCGAAAATTTTGGGAGGTTTTTCGCGAGGAAGGAAAGGGAAATCCTTCGAGGAAGGCGATTGATTTTGCTCTCATCAGCGGCGGCGATTGAAGACGGCTGCGCTAGCTCCTCCGTCGACGGCGGAAACCCCAATAATTTCAGCAGGTTTGTTCCCATCTCCACTCTCGTATCGATCTCTCGAATCGTTTGGTTTCCCCCCCGTGGATGTGTTTGATCAGTTACCCTGGTCGGGAGTGAGCTCCTTTCGCCATTTTGTAGCTGAAAAGAAGAGAACTTTGGAAATTCGTAGTAGAGGTTTTTTGTTTCCTGATTCATTTGGATTGCTGATTGTAGTGTGATTTCCCACTTCTCATCGCAATGTTGTGGGCAAGTATAAGGAGGAAAGTTGTAGATTCGGGAGTAAACGCTTCCATCGGCCGCGGCTTTACTGATTTTGGTACTTATGCTAGAGGGAGTCCAGTCTGTTCATGGCCATCAAGGTTAGTTCAGTAGTTCGTAGTTTGAGCAGTCTTTCATCTTAAGAAATGACTAACTTGATTGCTGTTTGAGAATCCCTCTCTATGAATGTTGATAAACCTAGTTGGGTGTTCTGATTCATTGGAAGTTGGCTTTTGAAAAGCATATGCTTGATTTGCTATTCATTTGATACCATTTCGTTATGGAGCAGAGACTCGTCGGGTTATGGACGGAGTCGGTTGTTTTCTTCGGCAGCAGAAGCATCATCAACTAGAAGTGAAACCCAGGTGCCATGTCTAGGCAGTTTGATTTCCTGCTAGTCATGCTTTCCAGTTGGATCCTCCAATTCTACCTTGAAAGTCTGAAGCTTCTTGGTGGGTTGCATTTGTGTAGTGATTTCGACGACTTTGTTAAACGTTGCAGGTACCTGTGGCGAGGGCAATGTGGAAGGGTCCGTTCGTGGATGCTTTCCTATTGAAATTGAAGAACAAGGGAGCGCCACTCAACAACAGGAAGATCTGGTCTAGGAGGTCGGTCATATTGCCGGAGTTTTTGAACTCCACCGTCAGGATATACAATGGGAAGTCGTTCGTTCGTTGCAAGATCACCGAGGCCAAGGTGGGCCACAAGTTTGGGGAGTTTGCTCTGACGCGAAGGAGGAAGTTCAGAGGAAGCGATGGCAAAGGGGGTAAGACTAAGACCCTTAAGAAGGGTGGCAAGAAGTAGTAGTCATAATGGGATACTCATCTTTTGCTCGTCTGCTACTACAACCTTGGGAATTTGAAGATGGAGCATTACAATAATGAAAGATTTTGAGATGTGATTGGGAAAATGTGGGATCTGTTGCGGCATTGTTTTCTTAATTTTTGAAGTCCGTGGTTCTAAAAATGTATAATTTGATTTGATCGAAATCAAATCAGTAAAAGTTCGGACCATCAAATGTATCACATGAACTTTCCATTAGGTTTCTTACCATCCTTTCTCTCATGCTATTCGATCCAACCCTGTACCAGTACAATCGGACCACTGCCCACCGGTTATTCGGGGAGGGCATGCTCGAACAATCGAACATGAAATGAAGTTTCCTAGAGATTTGGAACTCTGATGTGCTTAATTCCTTGAATGCAATCGAAGATAGTAGAGTTATCAAGTGGCAGTGATAGACCAAAACTGAAGCTTCATAGAAGAGCATATAAAGGCCACTAAAGAAGCATACATACCTCTCTCTGTCGGCACTGTCTTCTGCCTTTTATGCAGCAGATTGACCAACAACAAAAAAAAACAAATCTAAGTACAGTTACAGAAGCTCGATGTACATGCCACCTCAATTTATTGATTCCATTTTGCCTAGCAGCCATCAGCCATCGCTGGAAGCTCGAAGCACGCTGAAGCAACGTGAAATCTCATTACAAAAGTACAAAACTTTTTCCCCCTCGGAGTTGAGGTAAGAGGAATGACCAGGAAAAGGAAAAGCTCTGGAGATATCAGATACCTAATTCAACAACCGAAAGGGAAACTCAGCTCTTATCCCGTCTCCAACTCTTCCTGGCTATGCTCACCTACTCTCTTAGAGAATACGGCCCTGAATATCGTGAAAGCTGCGATGAGAGCAATCTCCAAGTGCTCGGAACTACTGATCTTGACACCAACTTGCCCCATCTTCAGTGAATTCAGATTAACATTAACACCCACTCTAGTACCACGCATTGCCTGAAACTCTGACTGCACTCCACCACTCAATACTGTATCCTTCTCAAATGACAGAGGGGACAGGAAGACACTCAAACAATCGTTCCTAGCTGGGTAATCAGTCCCTAGCACAGTGGCTTCGAACCTCCCACCATAGGCAACTTGTCCAGCACCTCTCATTTGTGCTGCATTGACCAAAAACTTCCACCTCTTACCAACCAACACCGAATCTTCAACCTTGCCACCAACATAATACTTCTTGCCAAACGATGTCAATGAAACCCCACAGTCCATAACATTGTGCTTGAAATTCTTCATTCTTGTGTTGCCGTGAACCGTGTAAAACATGTCTTTTCCAGCAGATTGAACATTCAGACCTACAGAGTATGAGGGCCCCCGAGGATCAGAATATGCAGTAGTACACTCCGACTGAATATTGAAGTTTTGTTTATCCTTGCTCATCTGCCCGGAAACTGAGGCATGGAGGTTCTTCCTCATTTCCACAGAAGTCTCCAAGTTTATACCGTCAAACCCAACATCATGATCCCATCCTTGAGGATCAAGTACTGGCCTTGGAATAAATTGTTCATTTGTGACAAGGCAGCGATATCGATGCACGTGACAGTCCGAGTCGAAACTCAGAGGAACCACCATGTCTGGTAAGAGGACTGCCTCCGGCAAGGTGGCAGATTCATCACCCTCTTCATGACTTACTTCTCCCACAAGCTGCTTCTCCCTTCGTCTTCTACACTCTTCTTTCAACTGTTTCTTCAAGTAAAGTGTCTCCCGGTAGTCTAGCTCATCAAGATAATCATGTTTATGAGACTTGCTCAATTTTGAGAACTGGGATTTTGACAGGATACGGATCGGCGGTAGTTGGTCGTATTCATCTTCTCCTTCTTCATCTGATAGTAGAATCTCATCGTAGAAATCATGACCACCATCTTGAGTAGGATTTGAAATAGATCTATACTTGACAAACGATGAGAGCAAATGGGGAAGAGAAGGCACCCGCGGTTTAGTCTTTGCCCCCAAGTCAATGCTCTTCTCGAGTCGCAATATGTTGCTCGCAACACTAAGAACTTTACTGCAAATGCACAATAGCATAAAATGAGATCTCCAGACCTGACCATTCGGAAGAATAGCAGTCACCACGGGTATTCTTCACGCACTGAGGATGATTCTCCACAAGAATCACAGGGTTCTCGAGTTTCGAGTCAAGAACTGCTTCGTGGATGTAGTGTTGCATCAACTCAGAGCACCGATTCACATATGATTCATAGCTGACAGGATATCCACCAGTTCCTTCTGGAAGGGAAGAGGAAGCATGAGTCATTACAATCAAGGTGTTGAACCAAATAGCATTCCCGAAAACGTCCGTCATTAGCTTCAGCAGTGGGAAGTCGCAAGAACCCATGTTGATGAGGTCGAGGCGCTCGACGAATAAAACAATGTCTGGAGGGGATCTCCTGATGAATCTTTTGACAGAGAGCATGATCTTTCGATTTCTTCTAACACTGCTGGTCGATGATGGAGAGAAACCAGGTGTATCTATGAAAGTTACTCTAACCCCATTGAGAGAGCCACTAATCTCTTGTATACGGTCAGTGGCCGGTTGAAATGCACTAGTGATTGTCTTTCTTTCATCCAGTAATGAGTTTATGGTCGCACTCTTCCCAACTCCTGTTTTCCCAAGTACAAGTATTCTCAAGGAGAAGTCCAGTTCAGGTGAGCCGGAAGACTCTTGAGCTGCTGCTATTGCTTTGGCTCTAGCATTTCTCACTCTGTCTGGTGGCTCAGCTCGAATCGAAGTTGCAATGTGTATCCTGTATAAAACCTTCGCCACGAGGAGATTGTCTGAGGACAAACTGAACCGTTGAAGCAGACGAAAGAGCTTGATTTTGAGATCTTCAATCCTTGCCAAAGGATCCGTCTTTCTTCCCTCAACATAGTGATTGCATGGCTGGGAAGCTGCTTCGACTACTTGCTGGGGAGTAGTGGTATCAGTTCCACTCTCCCGTCTACTCTCAATGGAACAAGGCGCCCCTGAATGCAGTGGCAATGCCTCCGAATTGGTGGTTAAATCTACAAAAGGCAGAAATAATAAGTTCAACTCAGTCCTAAAGGTATACACACATCCAGACCATAATTTGGCACTACATTCAATGGTTACGGTAGCTTAAAACAATCATACAGAGGTGGAGCTTACTGCTGAACATACCATATATCAACCACCACCTATCCCACACAACGACTAATCATGAGTTCGTAGCAAGAGAAGACTAAATGTTGCAGCTCCCACTTTCGAGCTTGAGTTAAAACCCAGATTTCGGGGCGAAACATACAAAGCATCTACCCATCTACAACAACCAGATGGAAATGGATTTTGGCAGGTGATGCAATTAGTAAATTTACCTATGTCATCAGCACGTTGATCCACTGGAGGCGGGCCACTGAAGCCACCAGGTGATAACGAGGCCAGAGATTTGACCAACAGCTGAGGGAAAACCCAATCCATAATTCCCTTCATCTTTCGTACTGAACATCACAATTGAAAGAATCATCAAAAGCTGAAGAACAAAATCGAAGAAAGCGAAAGCCACCGGGGAAAGCAATGATTATGTTCCTTACCCCCAACACTTGAATTACCCAAAACGCGAGACACGAGAAAAAAGCGAAGGAAAAAGAGCACAGCTGTTTTTACTGGTGGCGGGGAATCAGCGGCAGCAGCAGAATCGATATTCTCGCCATTCCTGGAGGAGCGCGTAGAAAAATTACACAAACCCAGTTAAGAGAACTGCAAATCGGAAACTGGTTGCGTCAGTTAAAACTCTTTGTGCGGCGGAACAGGCATAACCTAGCTCGAGAGAAACGCGATGAAGAATAAGTGATGGGGAGATTAGATGGCAGACGGGAAAGGATTGCCGTGGGGTAGGCGGGGAGGTGATAAAGCAATGATACTGAATCGGAGATTGGCCGGCGGTTGGTCGGGACTGGAGGAAGATGATGATAACGAGAAGGAGAAAGGAGAGGTGAAGGGGTTTGGTGGATAAGAGAAGGAGGAGTAAGACAAACATGGAGAAGAAGGGATTTTGGGAACGACAGGCGCTAGCATCCACCACACGTGTAGTTTTTGTTCTATTTTTTGGTCCATCAGGAACTAACACATTAATCACCCAACTTTGATAGTTGACGAATTTTGTTAGTGAAATAATGTGACATGTAGTTTAAATCGGTTTCGATCAATCGAAGAAAGTATAAGGAAATTTGTAGTGTCTAATATAGACACTTATTATGTAAACGAAGCAAATAATGTGACAAGTAATTGGTGTCCGACCAACGATTGATCAGGACGAAAAGCTCATAGGGTATTCCTCGTTATAGTTTCCTACTGCAACTAGGGGTGGGCATTGGGTGGGTCGGGTGGATTTTGACAATGAAATGCACCCACCCGCGCTTAAACGGATTGATAATTTTTAACCCACCATCCGCCCACATATAATCTCGGGTTGGGTCGGGCGGATGGTGGATGATGCGGGTGGGTTTGTGGGTTCACCCACATCACAATGTATATAATATAAAGGAGTCAACTTGACATGATAATAGGTGAAGATAATCATCGAGGGAAACAAGTAGTTGAAATAGGGCGAAAAATGCCGAATTAGTTTTTAAATTGGATAGAAATTCTATTATGAAAGAGTTTTCTACAGATTGAGACGATTATTAGGTGCAAAGAACTAAGGAAAATAATTCCACAAAGGAAAGAGCGGTGATCTAGGCACAAGAATTAGAGGAAAAAGTAAAGGGAAGAAGAGGGGATCTCTATTTGGAAGGTTGGCTTTGAGGTTCAAACTCCAGGAGCAGTCCGAGTTTATATCTAACGTCTCCACTCTCCTCTCTCTAGCGCCAACGACTTTGATCTTTTTGCTGTTGGGTTGAGTGGGTCACCCGCACACTCACCCACAACCCACCCACCACCCAGCGGATGGCTTCCAGCGCAACCCGTCACCCACCCACAAACCCACCCACTTAACGAAATTCGAGTCAAATGCGGGTGGGTCGGCCCAAACCCACGGATGATCCGCCCGCATGTCCAGCCCTAACTGCAACTACAAATCGACAGACCTGCATTTGGAACTTATATACAGAAAGCCATCTCTTTCCACTTCTACGACGTAACAAGAAGAATTTGATGATTATAGCAGCTATAGGTATCAATTTTGGAGTATTTTTCAACTGTCGCCATATCAACGTTCTATATCGAGTTTAGTAGTTTACTACTACACTCCCAATGGGGATCCTGATGGTGATACAAAAGGCAACCCAAAAACCAGTAATACATCATCACTATGATCCCACCACCACCACCACCAAAACAATGCTTTCTTCAACCAACAGAATAGAATAGGCAAAGGAAATCGAAGAACGAAATAGTTCGACGCAAAAAAGGAAGCCAATATTCCACGAATCCATTGCTGCAACTGCCATTGTAACCCTAAAACCAATAGCCGAAATCACCAGCAGAACCACCCGGTAGAAGGTGTTCAAGAAGAGAGTCCATTTGCTTGATTATTCTTTTCTGTAATGCAGAATGAGCCTTGACCAGACTCTGCACGCTTCAGCAAACTGACGACTGGCGTCGAATGCCTGTCATTGTGACCATGTCGTGCATCGGCATTGCCAGCTGGCTTACTTCCCCAGCATCAAAAACTGGTTCCATGCTTGCCTGGTAGTATATCCAGTATCACGATGGGCATACCTGGGCACTCGCTCTGTAATAAAGCATCTTCTGCACATAAAACATCATGTACCCCTGCGCAGCCCTCACCACATTCTCGTTCACTCTGGTAATCCATGCGTCGTCACATTTATACCACTGATTGCTCAGCCGCAAATACGTGACATAATGACCAGCATCCAGCTTTCCCGAGTGGGTCACCACGGCAAACAGCTCAAATTCCGAGGACATCTCGTTTGCTGCCACGTCATCTCCATCATCTCCTTCGAATGAGAAGACCCGGTTCCCGAATCGACTCCTCAAAATGGAAGAAGATAGATATGGTGCCATGTCCAGCGAGAAAGGGAACTGCAGGTACCGATCGACTTTCCTCGACATTTTTCGAGTGTGAGAGTGCTCGAATCTCTTGATGTGGAAGCAGGAGACCAATGGGAGCTTTCTAATCGACATCTGCTTCAGGGATTCCTGACTCACTTGGCACTGTTGACAGAAGAATTTCTGGTCGGACCCCAATCGTTCGGGTCGGGTGAAGCGGTCCAAACATCCAATCAGGGTAGATGTCGTGGGGATTTGGGTCGAACTGAAGCCGTTTGCTTCACTATTGGAAGATGGATGAGATTTAGCAGATGTCTTTCCATGAGCTGTCACTTGGTGAGGCTCCAAGTCGAGTGAGATGTCCACACATGGGTCATATGTTGTGGATGTGAAACCACAGGCCATGCACATGACATCGGACCGCAAGATGCCGGAAAATACCCTGTGTGCAATACAGCAGTCTCCATGTCCTGAAATTCAAAAAATCAAAGACAAGATATGGTTACCGATGTGTGATCAAGATAATATGTTCAGAGAAGTCCCGAATATAGCAAGTCTATTGTAGTCCTAGTATGTAACTTGACAAAAATAAAGCAGATAGATGCAAGCAACTACTAGCCTAAAATGAAATCAAACATTATATTTCAGCAATCTCCAAATCATATACTAATGGTCTATTTGTCAAGGACGCTTAAATGCTAAAACCAGGGATATGGAGAGTAACTGGCAGAGTAATCAAGCTTAAGGAAATGCCACTGAGCCTATCAAAAAGGGAGACATCCAGAAGAAAGTTAGACTGAAGCTGGAAGACAATCCATAAAAAGAAAAAAAAAAGTTTGGCTGAACCTAATTATCAGGAATACAGGAGAAGATCCTGACAAGAACCGAGCGGGTGAAGGAAAAATCAGACTTACAGGAGCAAAAGCAGGATGACACGATCAAATCTGCAGGTTGGTGAAGACTTAGTCCTAACACTTGCACTTTCAACTCCTAAGGCAAGTACATAGACCTAATAAACCCCCCAAAGCCTGCAGTTAAAAGTTACCAGTTATTTCTTTATCTTCAAGAGCATTTTCCAGAACAAAATTTAACACAGAGAAGAAGAAAAAAGTGTGAGTTGTCAAAAGCTTAAGATAACTCCAAAGACGTGCAGTTCGGGGGATCTATCGATAATGGCACTAATGCGAACACCAACTCTTCCAAGGCATGCATAACTACATGGTTTAGAAGTCAGGAACTTAGACCTCTTACTTGGCTGGGATATCTAATACCTTATAGGCCACCTAATTGTTTCCTCGACTCTAAAGGGACCTCCCATTGGCTGACACTTTCAATCCACAAGTTCGTTGATAATTAGAACATGCAGCAAGTAGCATAGTACAATCTAAAACTTAAGCACACAGATTGAACAGCCAAAAACATAACCGGGCCATGCATAGCAGGAAGATAGACATCACATTGCAAAATCTTGGATTGTATAAAAGAACTATCTTCCACTAAATGAACTTAAAAGAACATGCACCTTTGACAAAGTACACTGCTAGGCTAGCTGACAGATGCAATGAGTTGGAAAGTGCAAACAGGATAAATTCGTTTCTAAGAAGGCATATCCAATTAACTGAACCAACATTTTCGGTTTACCTGGACTCGGGGGTTTTCCTCGATCCCTCTCCACATTTTCATGGATTCCATCAAGCATAGAAATGAAAAATTCATGAGCATCCTGCTGATCATAGCTTGCCAAGTCAGACGCATGCTGCCACCAGCTGCAAACCAACAAAAAAAAAAAAAAAAAAAGACAACCAATCAACGAATCATTCAGTAGAACAACAACAAACCATGATGGAAGTTCCAGACCCAGATCAAGTAAATGGGTACCTGTACAAAAACTTCGCGGGGCTATATGGTTTGCGATCGCCAGAAAAAACAGCGGAAAACATCGCATCCACGTCGCAAGCTAAGCACAGCTTCACACCTTTAATCATCCCATTGCTGTTGTCGCCACCACCATTCCCGCCATTCCTCTTCCCGCCACCACCGACACCGCTGCCGATCCGGCCCGTAGTTGCCGCGTTCTTCAGCTGGCAGTAATACCGATTGTGCCGATCACTCAAGAAATAGTCCCTCAACGGCGGAGTATGCAGCAAGGCCTGCAACACCGAGTTCATAAAACAAGTGTTCCCCAGATTGTTCAGCCCTCTAAGCCCTCGAGGCCGATCGATCTCGCAATCCAACACGCTCGATCCATTATCCATCAGCAAACGCTCGCGAACATCGGGCGACCAGGGACGGTAATCTACCCGCCGCCGCTTCCGCATGTTCTCCGGGTTCCCCGACGACTGGACGGCGATCGCGGACTTGAGCGCGGCGGACTGACACAAGACCACGGCGGCATCGAAATCGCGATCGTAGATCTGATCGCGGCAGGCGCAGCAGAAAAGCTCGGCTCGATCGACATCGACCGCGATCTCGTGGCCGCCGAGGGGCATCGAGGCGGCGTGAGCGGAGGCATGGGAGGGCCCGCCGGAGGGAGCGTGGCAGAACACGGCTGCGCACGCGACGCAGGCGTAGAGCCTCGACGGGGAGGAATCGCCGCACGCTGCGCAGCGGGGGACCTCGGAGGGTTCGCGGCGGATCCCGGCCCTGCCGCCGGGAGGTTTGACGCGGAGGCAGTCCTGGAGGGCGCGAAAGGGCTTGGCGCCGTTGCGGGAACGGAAGTCGGCTAGATGAGGGCAGGAAGAAGTGAGGGGAGAAATCTGGCCGTCGATTCGGTGGTGATGGTGGAGGTGGTTGATCGTTGATGACATGGAGGGAAGAGATGGTGGTGGTCGGGCGGTGGAGAGGGAACGGCGGAGGAAACCCTAAATTGGAAGAACATAGGGGGATGTAAGACGGCGGGAAATCAACGGCGGAGATTGTGGGGATAGGAGAAAGGAGAGTGATGAAGCTTCAAACCTCTTCCTTTATCAGTCCCCTCCGTTTCTTCCTATTTTTCTTTGTTGGTCACTTTACACTATTGCCCTTTCTTGGTCACTTTACCAAGTTTCTTTCACCAACAAAACGGTCCTATCCATTTCGTCAAACTAACAAAATGGTAATTTTGTCGATTTTTTTGTCTAATTTCTTTTTAATTAATTATCATGAACATGTCATATTAACTAGTAAGTTAATTTGAGCTCAACATCTTAATTACATTCCAACTCGAATCAATCCAAAAAGTCTCAAATTACGACATTAGTTATCGATTTGGATTTTCTTCAAATTTCACAAAACAAAACATATATTCAGTGCTGACAAATCATGATTTTAACACGTCAACAAACGTCACTTACCCAGACTAAATCCCTGCTTGAATGTATCAGACGTCAATATGAAAGCTATTCAGTTGTATAGGATAAATCGTTAATGATTGGAATGTGAAATAGTAGATTCGAACAAAATTGACCTCGAGTTTTCATGCATGATCAGTTAGTAAAATTCTATTATCAACAAACCCAAGCACCCTCGTTGAAACTGTTTTCCGGCGAGAAAACTTGCGTTGAATTGAGATTGATTGCACCTTTGACTTCTTTGGACAATAATTACTAATACACGGCTCACACCTCTTCAAACAAAGTTCAAATGGGGAGTGTTTGATTGATGATTTCTAGGAATGAAAATCTGAATTAAGTTACTTCTACTCCTATGGAGGTTCGGTGAGAGCTCCAAACTAAAAACTACGTATATGGCCACATGATAGAGAAAAGATAAAGGGTAAACTTGACATGTGTATCAGAGTGTTGGTTTTGGGACCTTTTGTCTCTGTCGACCCCTCCTCCTATTTAAAGCCACGAGGAGGTAGCCGCCGTAGAAATCGCTTCTTGGATAACTGCTACAAAGAACCACTCCCTCTTCTCCAGAGTGGTGGTTACTCTTTCAACCGCCTAGATGCTTCTCTTGGAACCGCCATGGGTCTTGGATTGTAGCCTGCCTCGCACGATCTTGTTCCAAATCTCGTGTCATGCTAGTCTTTTGATAAGCATGTGGTGTCTCACAAAAGGAGGTCGTGGTCCTCTTGCCCCATGGTCATGGACTTCTTACTCATGTCCATGGCCCTCTAGGGACTCATGTCCATGGCCACTCTCGTGAGGTGGCATGGACCTCTCAATCATGCACATGGCCCCTCTCGAGAGGCGGCATGGCCTTCCCAGACTTAGTATTTTTCAATGTATCTAATGCTTCTTGCTTCGCGTCCATAGCCATCACATGACACGGCCATAGACCTCTTAATCATGCACATGACCCTTTTCGTGAGGCGGCATGACCTTCTCAGACTTAGAATATTTTTCAGTCATGCCTAAGCCTATTGTCTCGCGTCTATGGCACTTCTCGTGAAGCGGGATGGACCTCCCAGACTTATAATATTTTGGGTCATTCGGTCTTGGTCATGAGGCAGCATGGCCTCTTCATTCGCGACCATGGACTTCTCAGTCATGTTCGTGACTGATAGACCGTTAATTACACATGTTTTTACCCCTGTTCTTACACCGTTTGAGGTGTTGATTCTTGTGTTTTAGGCCGATTTCACGCTAGGTTGTGCTTGTTTGTGATATTTCAGGTCCTAGTACGTGAATGGAGGCTTGGGAGCGAGTTTGGGGTCGATTGGACGAAGATCGGACGCATGGCGAGGTTCTAAGGAAGCCACACGGGCAGCCCTGGGTATCACACGACCGTGCAAGTTGCACTTGTGGCCGTGTGATTTTTGCCGAGAGCAAACACGGGCATCCCAGGAAATCCACACGGCCGTGCGACCCTGGCCGTGTGGGATGCCTGAAGGCCAACTTAATGATACGCTGCGTTTCGACTCGCACGGGCAACTGGGTGAGCCACATGGCCGTGTGGCCTGCCCGTGTGAGTCGGGAAATCTTGGTTTTTCAGCCAATTTCGAGCCAAAAAGGGCGGATCGGATTTTCAGAGAAAAAACAGAGCCCTAGAGAGAAAAAGTACGAAGAACACATCCTAGAAGCTATCTTGGAGCTGGGTTTCATCAAATCGAGCTTGGAGATCGTCATAGGAGTGGAAATCATCATCCCGGAGCAGATTTTCCTCATCATTATGAGTATGACTACTCCGATTACTGTTTTCTCCTCTCTCTCTATGGAGTAGAACCCTTCTCTCACTTGGGTATGAAGAACCCTAGTTCCTGGTGTTAGGGATTTGATGGTAATGACTTCGGATGATTATACTGTTTGGTTTTAATCGAATGATGCATGTTTATTGAATTGATTGAAGTCTGATCAGCTTTTCTTGATTTCTGCTGCAACCTGAGATAGATAGAATCTGATTAGGTTGTTAGAGCCTCTTCATTCGATAGTAGGAGATTGGTTATACGAGAGTTAGCCAGTTTACTGCTTTGTACTGGAATTGAATTCCAGTAGTGGAGTTCTGTGCGTATTGCTTCAGCTTTCTATCCCGGTGAAGACTAGTCGTCTGCCGGGTAGTTAGACTGAGAGGGCTAGGTCAGCTTAAGAGATTCCAAGCTACTGTCGGATCTTCCGCAGTCTAATCAACAGTAAATCAACCCAGGGAAATTACAATTGAACCTAACTAAGGGGCTAGGGGGACTCATTCCCGAGTGACTCTTACCTGCTTGAGAAAATCGAATAATTTCCTGCTTTCTTACTGCTTTTAGTTTAAACACAAATCACTCGACTTAGTTGGCTAGATAATAGATCATCACGGAGTAAGCAGTAGATCTAGACCCCGAGTTGATAATATAACTTGCCTGTTACTGCATTCCCGGACTGCGATTACACTTGGTCGTAGTTTGGTGTTGTGTTTTGGCGTGTCAAGTTTTTGGCGCCATTGCCGGGGACCCTCTAGGTTATTGGGGAAACGTGAGAATTTGTTACTCTAGCTTTTTATTTATTGCATTTTTTCTCTTCCACCTGTGTGCCTTCACGGGTTGCTTCTGCTGATTGTGTGCAGGTAGTGCATGATCCGTAGCCAGTCGGGAGATCTACTGCCATTAGACCAGGAACTTGAACGAACCTGCAGGAACTTCAAGCGGGCTCTAAAGGCGCGACTGGCTGCGGAGGAGGCGCTATCACAGCTGCAGATCGAAGAAGAAGAAGAAGAGATGGTTGATCCACAGAACCATGATGTGATCAATCCAGAGGAGCAGACCATGGGATCCTACTGGACCGCTAGAGCTGCGGATATGAGGTCACCCATTCAACACCCTCATGTCCCAGCCAACAATTTTGAGGTGAGCACATCAGTAATCACCATGCTGCGCGGTTCAGTGGTGTTCCTTGGTAAGGAGGGGGAGTGCCCCCGATCAAATCTCAGGCGATTCCATGAGCTCATCGATGGAATCAAGATCAATGGGGTACCAGCAGATGCCATCCAGCTGAGGTACTTCCCTTTTACTCTGGAGGGGAAAGCCAAGGAATGGCTAGACACTCGACCTCCGGGCTCTATCACCACGTTCGCCAACCTGGCGGACAAGTTCCTCACCCGCTACCATCCTCCATCCAAGACGGCTGATCTTCAGAAGCAGATTACCCATTTTGCTCAGGATGAGGATGAGACCATTCGGGACGCATGGGAGAGATACAACAGTCTCTTCCTGAGGTGTCCCAATCATGGCTTTAATGATGCTTTCAAGGTGGGCACCTTCTATCACGCCCTCTTCCCGGAGGACAAGCAGCTGATTGATTCGGTTTGCGGCGGGAACATGCTGACCAAAACCCTGCCACAGCTGAATCAACTCTTTGAGGAGATGGCGGAGAACGGGTACGATTGGGGCACTGCCAGGAGATCGAGACGAGCACCAGGACGGGGTGTGCATGCTGTAGGCACCCAGTCATCTGATTTGGTGCAGGTGGTATCGAAGCTGGTTTCAGCTATCGATCGTTCTGGTTTGATTGCAGGTACAGGGCAGCCGCAGGCGATGCACTGCCAGTGGTGTGAGAGCTCCCATCACACCGTAGAGGACTGTCAGGCGATGAAGGAATCAACCACACCCCAGGAGCAGGTGAACTTCATCAATAACGTCAGGCGCAATGACCCCTACAGTAACACTTACAATGAGGGGTGGCTCCAGCATCCTAACTTCTCTTGGGGTGGGGCAAATTCCAGACCACCAGTCCCCCAGGGACCACCGGGTTTCCAGAGGCCACCATATCAGCCCAGACAGGGGCAATTCCAGCAGCAGCAACAGTCTCTCTACCAGCCCATGCCGGGGCATGCGGCTCAATCACAGCCGCGACCTTTACAGCCGCCAGGTGCAGCCCCTGCCAATGCAGTCAAAAGCGCGATTCTACCTAGAAGCGGAAAATGGGTAAAATTGTAAAGCGTAGAATCAAAGCGTAAAAGCGCAAGTTTTTGACGCATGCTATAAAATAGCTAAAAATTTCTGTTTAGTACGACACATACTATGTAAAATATAAGTATACGTAATTTAGATAATTTAATAAGCACCTGCAAATCATGTCTAAAGTAGAGAAACTTATAGCATCTTAACAATAAGTTCATAAACATTGATATTAACTATAAGTCTCCTTTCCCTTTATGCTAATGAATTTAGGAAGGGCCTAGCTGGTGAATTAGATTACTCTATTGAAACTGAGAGTGCATCCAAATACATTGTATGTATCTTTTAATCTGAAATGTATCATATTGTTGGTGATTTAACTTTAAACTATACTTTTTATAATTAATTTCATGAAAAAAATACTCATTTTGTGAAGTAGAAGCGTAAAAGCGTAAAGCGTTTTGGTGAGCTAGAAGCGTAAAAGCATAAGCTTTTAACCTTTAAAGCGCATTTTAGTCCGATTTTATACACTAAAGATTTTATATAGAAACGAAAGCGATTTGGTGTCCTAAAAGCGTAAAACCGTAAGTTTTTAAGTTTTAAAGCGCGATTTTAACTGCATTGGC